GATACTGACTGTACTTTCCTGAGTTATCCACTGTCCATCACGAGCTGAATCAAGGGGCTCTGTTATTATCTCCTTCTATATGCTCTTTGAGCCAATTTTTGGAACCTTTCCACAGAGATAGCTCTCTGTTGTCCTTTCCGAGGGCACTTTGTTTCTCTAAGGTTCCACCTCTATTCATGTTATGAGCCNTTTTTTTTTTTTTTTTAGCAATCAATTTTTCAATCATGAAAGACATGCATGGTCGCAAGAAGGTGTGTAGCGTTAGATCCAATTAGAGCAATGCATTTTTGAGGTACCACAGATCTTGTTATTTATAGACCAGTGAATGTTATAGATAAACTCGGCTTAGCCAATGAATGTCTAGGTCAAATACCCTGTAGAATTGAGTCCACAGACACTTGATTTTCCTCCTTTTTCTTTCTGCAGGACATATATAAAAAATTGAGTTAGTAGTGAAACAGCTGGGATATTGTAAAACAACGCCGAGATCATTCTATAGATCAGCTTATCTTACTTATCAGCCCCGCAAAACCAAACGCGTCTCCAATCTCCCGAGCTCAGTCTCACTACTCCGTACACATCTTTGACATCTAATCTCCAGGAGTCAGAGGTACCCCAAAGCAGACGTTGCAATGTCACTCCCAAACCCCCAGTTTCTAAAAACGACAGCCAAAGTACCCCACCCAACCTCTGGCTCAACCAATCCACACGCCAATCTTCTGACAATCGACACACTAATAAACTTCCTCTCCAAATCCCTCCTCAACCCCTTCATAGCCTGGATTTTCGTTCTCTGCCTGCGCGCACAGGTAACGCCATCAACAGATCCAGTTTGGATCCTCGCCGTGAGCTATGCAACAGCCCTGACAGTTCTCTTCGTCGCGCGAGTTATCAACCAGCGCGCTGCCCACGGCATCCCGCGCACAGTCGATTTCGAGCATGAGGTTGTGGTCATCACCGGCGGGGCGAGTGGGTTGGGTCTGTTGATTACGCAGATGTATAGCATGCGCGGGGCGAGTGTCGCCGTACTGGATATCAAGGATGTTCCGGAACATAGCCGCGAGGAGGTCTTTGGAGAGGGTGTTGTGTATATTACGTGTGATGTTGCGGAGAGAGGTGCATTGGAGGTTGCCAAGGAGAAGATTTTGAAAGAGGTAGGTTCGCTTTTTTTGCTATTGGTTTCATTGCGTGACCTGCGATCACATATCATCCTACGATTACTACGGTTCTGGTGGTTGAAATGGTTGGACAAGTCGATTTTATAGCGCGCTATGGCTTGCTTCAATTGTGGTCTGATTCGCGAGATATTTTACAGCTAGGAACACCGACGATCGTTATCAACTGTGCCGCGGCCAGGATCAACGGCCTCTCCCTGCTTGATCTGCCAGCGGACGCATTCGAAAAGACCATCCGCACTAATCTCCTGGCGGCTTTCCATCTGTACCAAGTCTTCTTGCCTGGGATCATAGCATCAGAGAGTGGAGGAACCCTTGTCACAGTCAGCTCCGTGCTGGGCCAGCTGAGTGCTGCGGGGCTGTCAGACTACGCAGCAAGCAAAGCCGGGCTTAGCGCGCTGCACCGGACGATAGAAGCGGAAATTCGGGGTAACCCGTTGATCAAGACATTGCTGGTGGAAGTTGGGCAGATGTCGACGCCGTTGTTCGACTGGGTGCGCGCGCCGAACCATTTCTTTGCGCCAGTCTTGGAACCGGTCGAAGTTGCCCGGGAGATGGTGACAGCGATTGATAGCGGTCGAGGTGGTGTGATCAGATTGCCTATTTATGCAAAGCTCGTGAATTGGTATGCCGTGTTACCCGCTACGGTGCAGCGGGTTGCGAGATATCTGAGTGGAATAGATGCTGCTGTGACTCAAAGCCGGCAGACATCTGGGAAGACAGATTGATAGGTGGCTCGAATGGAGCTGAGCGGTGTATATTGGCATGAATCATGAAAAAGGACCCTTGTATGAGTCCAATCAAGATGTATTACAAAGCAGAGCGATCTGCTTGCTTAACATATTCCCCATTCGACCATAGTTTCGACTGCAAGTCTTGCTGCCGAGCTTGGTCGATGAAAAGTGATAAATCAAGTGAATTGATTTATTGCTCGCTGGCCAAAATCATCTTCTCACGCTCATGGGTTCTCGGCGCCAGGTTGCTCTTCTTAGTATGCTTGCGCACATTCTCCTCACGTCTCTTGATAGCGTTGAGCTCCTCGCGCTTGATTTCACCAGCCTTCTTGATAGGCTTAGGCACATGACGCTGGCGCTTGATGCGGCGAATTTGGGGCATGTGTGAGTACCGCTTGATCAGAGCTTGATCGTACTCCAACTTGGAACGTTGACGGGCAGTCTTGACTCCACTGCGGTCCGATGCCTTGGCACGCCAGAGACGAACATTGCCATCGTCCGATCCTGTCAAGACATACTTGTTGTCAGGCGTGAATGTTGCTGAGAAGACACGTTGCATCCGCTTTGTATGGTAGATGTCACGCGAGTGACCAGTTGATCGGTTCCATAGGCGGATTGTCCGATCATATGAGGCAGTGACCAGCTCTTCACCCGTGGGGCTGAAATCAACATCCATAACAGCAGCCACATGGTCCTTCAAGACATTCAGAGCACGGTCCATCTTTCTCATGTCGAAGATGTACGCGTTGTGATCCTCGTTTGCTACGGCAAAGTTGAACGCTTCCATTGGGTTCCAAGAAATGGCGTTAGATGCCAGTCTCAATGTCGTCTTGTGCACCGGCTGGGAAGTACGCAGGTCGTACATAATGACTGAGCGGTCCATAGCGGTCGAAGCCAGGATAGAAGTCTCAGTCTGGTTGAACGCAACAGATGTGATGGTGTCAACGCTGGTCGGCCAGTGCAGGGTTTGCGATGGTGTAGAGGAAGGCCGGGAAAGGTCATAGATAGAGATGACACCAGAAGCGGCAGCAAAAGAAGGGAGGGTTCGGTGATGCGTGACGCTGGTGAAGGCACTATTTCCGAGATAGGTTGCCATTGGTGGGGCCTCAGATGATGAGTTGTAAGGATCCCACAATTTAATTGTCTTGTCACTCGCACATGATAGAAGCTTTCGCTCCGGTGTCCAGCACAGACCCTTGACCATATTTTCATGACCTTGGGTATTCCAAACCTCGCCCTGAGTCGTCAGATCCCACACCTTCACCACACCGTCGCCACTGCCACTTGCGAAGCGTTCAAGCGAGCCGGGATCCTTTGCCATAGAGTAAACACCGTCAACGTGTCCGTTGCCCATCTGCGCTAGGAATGGAGCAGCAAACATGCGCTCCATCTTGATCGCATTCAGAGCTCGAGTGTATTCACGAGCCCGCTCAAATGGATGCTGAGTCGGGTCGAGATTCCGCGACTGGCGAACGACAGCGGACCCGGGGGCCTGCTGTGATGCCGTGGAGCGGGAGAGGGCTTTGATTTTCTATAGGTCATTAGCATTGCTATCCAAAAAACAAAATTTCAAAAAAAAATACTCACCATGTTGCTGTTGTGAAAATGATGTAGAAACGAAAAGAAAAATGCCAAGATGGAACTTTTTTTCTGTTTGATTTGCCAAGCGGGCGGTGAGAGGACGGTGAGCTGCCGCCAGCTTCAAGCTCCCCATTCGACTTGGTCATCAACCTCTCTTCAAACCGCCATCTTCTATTGTTCTCCTTTTCTTTAATTCCTCATCTCGTCGCTCGCCATTTACCGTCTTTTATCATGTCATCCAAGGTCTCGCCACGGATCCAAGAAGTCCGAGATCTGGTGAAGGAAGATCCCTCGAAAGCAGCAACCAGTTACCAGAAGATCCTCTCAGAGGGCCCCGGATCTACAGAGGCCTCTTCACGAGACTATGAACAGGCTTTGATTGGACTGGGCGAGTTGCATCGGGATGCGAAGAAGCCACAGGAGATCGCGGACCTCATCAAGACCAGCCGTGACACCTTCTCGTCATTTGCCAAAGCCAAGACAGCCAAGCTGGGTAAGTTGCGCGCCAAATCACATTTATAAAAACCGGCTAACTGTGTTTGTTTAGTCCGTCAACTTCTGGATCTGATTAGCGAAATCCCCAACACACTCGAACTCCAAGGCAACGTTATCCAATCATGCATAGAATGGGCTATTGCCGAGCGGCGATCGTTCCTTCGCCAGGCCCTTCAAGCTCGACTCGTTGCCATCTATATGCAGAAGCAATCCTATTACGATGCACTCACTCTTATCAACTCTCTTCTCCGTGAGCTGAAGCGCCTGGATGATAAGCTTATGCTGGTGGAAGTACAACTACTTGAGTCGCGTGTGTACCATGCCCTAGGCAATCAGGCCAAGGCGCGTGCTGCTCTGACGGCAGCACGCACATCGGCAGCCTCCGTTTACACGCCGCCGAACCTGCAGGCCGGTCTGGATATGCAGAGCGGCATGCTCCACGCCGAAGACAAGGACTTCACCACTTCATACTCTTATTTCATTGAGGCACTTGAGGGCTACAGCTCGCTCGATGAGGGAGATCTGGCCACGGCGACATTGCAGTACATGCTTCTGTGCAAAATCATGCTGAACTTGGTGGATGATGTCACACAGCTGCAAGGCTCGAAACAAGCGCAAAAGTATGCCAGTCCACGCCTAGAGGCAATGAAGGCCGTGGCACGGGCACATGCCAACCGGTCTTTGGAAGAGTACGAGAAGGCTCTTTCGGACTACAGATACGAACTGGGCAGCGATGTATTCATCCGAAACCACCTCCGTCGTCTTTACGATGCCATGCTGGAACAGAACTTGATCAAGGTCATTGAGCCCTTCAGCCGGGTCGAGCTAGACCACATTGCAAAGATGGTTGGGTTGGACACACAGCAGGTCGAAAGGAAGTTGTCTCAAATGATCTTGGACAAGGTGATCATCGGTGTATTGGACCAGGGCTCGGGGTGTCTGATTGTGTACGATGAGACGGAACGTGACCAAGCTTACGATGCTGCACTGGAGACAATCGAAAAGCTCGGTAACGTGGTAGAAGGTCTGTATACTAACCAGGCATCTCTTCTGGAATAGAAAAGATGGGATATGTCCAATGCAGTTGAGACGATGACTTGATAAGAAATAATCGAGACAATGCACGATCACACTCAATACCCATTAGAACTGCGCGTAATAAATAATCAACATGTAGCCTGCATTCTTATATTTAGCATCCAGCTATTCATGGGATGTCAACTGCAAAATTCAAGTAGAACAGAAAGTTTTGTCCTCTCGACTATGTTGTTCGCGATCGTCCGAAAAGGGTAAAGCGCGACGGGCAAAAGAATCGCGACCTCGCATCTCCGACATCTCGCATCTTTCCCCCCCCCATCCGTCATCCTCCCACCACCGTTTCGGTGCTTAATTTCTCCATAATGCAAGCTCCAATGCAACAGCACTATTCTCGGGCTATGCCCCCAAATGCTCAGCGATCTCCAGCCGCGCCCCGTCGCCCCCCAGGGCCAGGTATGTCCCCTTTCATCGGTCTCCACCCATTCGTCTTAGCTTTAATCTTACATCTCTATAGGTGGCGCAGTACCTGTTCCAATGCCACAGCACGCTGTTGCCCCCCAATACATGGCCTCACGTCCCATGCCCCACCCCAATGATGCTGCCCTTCGGCGCAGCCGCAAGCCGACCGACAGGAACCTCCCCGACGGCATTGAAGACGTGATCATCGGCGAGGGTGTTCAGCAGTATAAAAACCTTCGCGACTTGGAAAAGCGATTGGATGCCGCTGTTGTGCGGAAGAGACTGGATATCCAAGACTCTATCAATAAAACAGTCAAGAAGTATCGGACTATGCGCATCTGGATCTCTAATACTGTCGAAAACCAGCCATGGCAAGGCCCAGGCAACAACCCAGGCTCCGGTCGCTACAAAGTGCGCATCGAAGGACGTCTGCTAGACGATGAAACTGACCCTACGGTCCCCGACGAGGACGAGAAAGACGAAGATGCGATGGACCACGATGGAGCTGAGGAGGATAAGGCGAAGAAATCCGAATCCAAGAGCCAGCCCCAGCGCTTCTCGCATTTCTTCAAGGCTATCACCATCGACTTCGACAAGCCCGTCTCGGCAATCCCCGACGAGGTCAAGCCGGTTAACTGGTCTAAACCAAACACACACTCCAACACACCTGCGCCCCCGAGTGCCGAATTTGACAGTCTACAGTTCTCCCGAGCCTCACAGGACAACCTGAATGTCACCATCAGCCTTGTCCGGGACGAAATCCCAGAGCGATACAAGTTGAGCAAGGAGCTGGCTGAGGTTCTGGATGTCGAAGAGGAGACCCGGAGTGGAATTGTTCTCGGAATCTGGGACTACATCCGCGCCATGGAATTGCAGGAAGACGAGGAGAAGCGACAAGTGCGCTGTGATCATCGTCTACGCTCGGTATGTGCTTTGAATATTTGGTCTTTCTAAAACCCGCTAACAAGTTCTGTAGATCTTTGGCCGGGAGCAAATGTTCTTCCCCCAGATCCCTGAAAGCGTCGGTCCTCACACCAGCCCAATGGAACCAATCAAGCTTCCCTATACCATTCGCGTTGACGAAGAGTTCCACGGCGACCCAACGCCGACTATCTACGATATCCAGGTCGCAGTTGAAGATCCGCTACGCACCAAGATGATGGCTCTCACTCAGAACCCAGCGTACACAAGTGGCCTACGCCAGATCTCCTCGCTTGATGACCAAGTTGCTTTGATTGTCCAGGCTCTTACACACTCCCGTGCCCGCCACTCATTCTATACTGCTCTGAGCAAGGACCCGGCCAATTTTGTTCGTCGCTGGATCAGCTCTCAGCGCCGTGATCTCGAGACTATCATGGGCGAAGCTACCCGTGGAGGTGGTGAGGATGGTAGCGGACCTGAGTTCCGTTATGGCGGCGTTGATGGCCCCTGGGACTCTGAGGTTGCTAAGGAAGCTGTGCGGTACATGCTGGCTAAACCCGAAGCTGCGGCAGCTCGGTAGATTTTCCAGCTTGTCTTTTTTTTATTTAGCTTGCATCTCCACACTGCCAACCATTATGCAAGGGATATGTGTTGATGTATTCTTTTCTTTTTTTCTGAATTAGGGCGCTTGTGTGGTGTTCGGACTGGTGTAGCCGGGGTATGACAGGCAGGATTGAATTGTTTTGGAATCTGTTTTTTAAGAATCTGATACGATGCAATATGATTCCGGATATGTTTTAATTTTATTGTGTTATAATAGAGTCACCACGCTAGGCATTGTATCTCTGCCACCTAGTATAACAGAAAAAAGTCCGAGAGATTAACAAAAAAGAAACAATGTGCACGGAAGCTAACCCACAGAACTTCAAAGGGAAAGCAACATAGAGAGGATTCACAGATATCTCAATCAATCATAGAGCAAAAATCGACAAATGTGAGGAAACTTAACAGCCCTCAAACATAGATAGATTATAATGATAATCTGAACTCCCATCCAAACCTCAAGCACCAGACAAAGGAACCTTCGAGGCAAGCTCTGACTTTCGTTTCCGCAACTCCTCCCCGAGACCCGAGTCCACAGCTGAGGAGACCTGTTCCTGCAACAAGGAAAGATCACCCTGCATAATTGCGGTCTCCTGTTGCTCCAGCTTGGAAGCCGCCTCGAGGACAACATCACGCACAATATCCTCCTTGAGCTGCGCAGCCTTCTCTGCACTAACAGGCTCTTTCTTCCCCTTCTTCTCCCCAGCAGCAGCAGACTCGGCCGGAGTGCGGAAACGCTTGAGAACAGTCTCGACCATCTTGGAGAACCAGAAAAAGTTCAAGAAGTTCAAGATCAAGTTCGATCCGACGTAGGTCACGACCAGCCACGTCGGTACACCCCCCGCGGTGTATTCCTTGAATTTGGTGATCTCGGCGTTGGCGAGCACGCAGGCTTCGTTGACACACAAGCTACCGTCGCGGGCTGGGTAGAAGACATTTGCGTTGACGCTCATGGCTTCGGAGAGCGGAGCTGCGGCTGCGGACCAGGTTTGCTGAAGGGCATTCCACATGTCCCCGTATACCACGACGGTTTGCCAAGTGCCCCAGACGAGGCGGCAGGCGAAGAAGCTGGAGAGCAAGGCCATGCCGTTATACCATTGGGCGCGGCTGCCGGTCATGTTGACTTTGTCGAGGAACCAGTGGATATTGAGGAATGGGCTGGAGAGCTCGTAGAGGATGAAGGTCGGGGCGAAGTAGTTTAGGAATGGTCTCTGTAAACACTATGTTAGATGTGCCTTGAATTTTTTTTTATACATAAAAAAAAAGGCATAAATGCCGATGGTCTTCTTGATACTGATGGTATCGATATCAGGTAGATCGGAGAGGCAACTTACAAAGCCTAGACTAAACACCCACAAGGCGCTGATAGCATGGAAAAGCATGCCAATGCCAAACATGCGCACGTGCACAATGCTCACAATCAGGTCATATACAAAGTATCCCACGGCCAAAGCTTGAATGAGACCACAGGCACCTGTATATCCGAAGACCCGCTCCCCGGATGTCATGGAGCTACGCTCTTGATCGGTATACATGACCCACAGGGCAGCAGCATTAATGACAATGCTCTGAACAAAAGAGACAACATGGATATCCCAGTTTAGCTTCGTCCGGGGAGTGAGCTTGTTGTAAGACTGAGGGAATAGGATGGGTGACAGCCAAGGCGAGAGAACTGCATGGATGAAAAGGTAGAAGGCGAACGCTGCAATAACCTCATGAATATGGTCTGCAAGCGTCGGGCTGCTGAGTTGGATAGCATAGGGCTCTGTGAAGCTCCGCAGCCATTCTGGAGGCGGTGGGAAGGGGTCCAACATCGTGGGAGTTCCCCTCAACTAGCTATGATCACCCGATGTGGGGGAAAGCTGTTTGAGGTTCGGAGGTCGGAATGTAGATCTATATGCAGTTATGAGGGCACCCTATCCTGTCTATCATAGAGAAAGGAAAAAGGAAAAGGAATAGAAAACAAAAGAAACCCCAAGAACTCGGAATAGGGGAGAGATATGTAGCTCCATGCGAGAAGGGAGTAGTGAGAAGATGACTAGGTGAAGCTGGCCTCGGCGTAGCCTCAGGCAGCAGTGATTTGTTGGGGGTCACATGATCACCTGCTTCATTCGTCGGGTCAGGCTTGTATGTTGTGGACTTCTACCATGAGGAAAAAGGAGCATGAGGTCTACAAGGACTAATCAGGACTATTCATTACGAGGAACATTCCAAGCAGGGGAAAACATGACTTGTGATTCAAAAATATTACCCATGAACAACCTGGTGACCTTGACCACATAGACCTGTACAATCTAACTACATCACATGAGAGTGTTATGGGAGAGTAAAAAGAGAATCATCATTAAGCAATACACATTTATGGTCACAAAAGAAAGTCATTCAAGTCATCCAAGCACCGAAGCAAAACAAGAGTGGTATATGAAAAAGAAAGAAAACGCCAATGGCGCAAGCACCCAACTCCATCCAAAACAAAATATTTCAATCAAACTGCAACATCAGCGCCAAGTCCGCTGTTGTTAGAGGGAGCCAAGAGCTTGAGAACTTCGGCTTCGGCGGCCTCATTGGCCTCCCTGATTTGGCGGGACATTTCATGATCCTCATTCTGGTGCTCATCGCCAGAATGCTCTCCATCTTCACGTGCTGTCTGTGCGTCATCTTCTGACTCGGAGCCGTCGATAGAAATATCATCATGGTGGTCCTCGTGGTCACACTCTGTGATTGAGCTCTCCGCCACACTGTATGAATTTGTGGAGCTCACTCCACTAACACGGCGCTGATCAGTGGCATCTGTAACCGCACTGTCGACGATACTGCCAGAGTAGCTTGTCTTGCGCTCCGTGCCTGCATTGCTTGCGGCGTAGTTTGTTCGCCGATCAGTGCCAGCGTTGCTTGGGGCATAGCTGCGTTCGGTTTCGGTTCCAAGGTTGGATTCTGCGTAGCTCGTCTTACGGTCGGTAGGTGTGTTACTTGCCGCGTAACTGGTCTTGCGCTGTTGACTAGCATCTTCCGCCTCGCTGGCAAGCTCGTCCTCTTCGTGGAAGGGCTGGTTCTCTTTGTCGGCAACAGAAGTTGGACCAGCCCAAGAAGTCTTGCGAAGAGTGTTCGATTTGACAGAGTGGCTGCGCTTCAAGTTCGTGATGCCAGATTTAGCGCTCACCTGTCGGTCCACACCGCGGTTGCCTGTGACGTGACTTAAGCTAAGAATCCGACGTTCCTTTCCGATGTTGGGCTGCACAGCGACTGTGCCAGCTTGAAGCGAGGTCGGCATTCTTTTCAAAGCCATCCCGACACCATTGCCAAGCAGACTGCGACTGTCCTTGGGATCTTTGGCAGTGCTGGCAGTGCTCGCCACACTAGGACTGCGGGCGCCTGTGCGCGAGGAACGGGTGCTCCGGGTGCTGCGGTTCCTCTTCAGGTTCATGGCATGCGAGCTATTGGATCGCCCGAGGAGGACGGTACGAGCATGGTCGAGCACACCCTCCAGAATGCGTTTCTCAAGGCCATCCGCGCGATCCTCCATCTGTCGCATCTCTTCGTGGCGTATCTCTAGGGCGGTTTCAAGACCGGACAGATCCTTGCTGAGCTTGTTGTTTTGTTTGATCAAGTCTTCCTTCTCTGCTCTTAGGCGATGAATCATGTTCAGCATGGAATCCTTTTCTTCATGCAACCCAATAAGCTCCCCTTCCACTTGCTCACGCTGTGAGACTCTTCGTTCAAGGGCGACCGCAGCCTCCTCGGCTTCGCGTCGCTTTCGCTCCGTGTCTTCAGCGACCAGTACTGACTGGGCAGCGAACATCTCATTCATTCTGCGGGAGTTTTCCATGATATCCCTGTGCATCTCATCCAGCTTTGTCATCTGGGTAAGAGAATGATCGGATTCCGGCGGATTGAGAGGACGGCTGAGCAATGCGTCCAGTTTCTCATGAACAGGACCACTCCCGTTAGTGGCGTGGTCCAAAAGCTCATTGAGCTTTTCGTATATTTGATCATTCGAACCTGACCCTTGATCTAGAGCACGATCAAGCTTCTCGTGGAGTTGGTCATTTTTTGAGTGATCAAGCAGAGTGCTCAAAACCTCGTGGACCTTGTTGTTCTTGGCATGTTCCAAAAGATCGTCGATCTTGCTGTGTAGCGGGGTATCCTCTATGGCGAGTGTACGGACTGGTTCAGGTGGAGGCGGCGCAGGTAGCATTGCTGGGATATTTGCGGGCAATGCTGACAGTTCAGACTTGAAGTCCTCTGCTGATTTCTGTGAGTGATCGTAGTGCTGGCTGACGATTGTCAAAATCTCCTGCACAGATTCCAGAATACGAGGGTGGAATTCAAGAAGTTTGCTCTCCACTCGATCAGTGGCAGCCGCGGCCCTTTCGTTCTCGGCTTGAGATTGCTCCTGGTGCGATCTCACATCATTGTGAATGTTCTCCATTTGTTGACGGGACTGATCGACTTGTTCCATGAGAGCCTTCGTGTCCACACTTAACCGCTCACAGGTCTCATTAACACTATCACCCATGGCACCGATGACAAGCTTGATATCCTCAGCAAGACTCCTCGTACTCGTCAAAGATTCAGTGTGTGCCAGGTCTCTCTCTTCAGTTTCTGAGAACTTCAAGTGGAGGGACGTGTGCGCATCTTCATACTTGGTTAAGACTTCTGAAATCTTTTCGTCAATCTTTGTCCCAAGCTCAAGGATGATGGCGGCCCGCGTCTCATCGTGTTTGACCATTGTAGCGGCATCACGCTCCTCTTTTTCGACCTTGACTGCATCTTCCTCACCCCGAGAACGTTCGAACTCTCGGTTGATAAGGTCGGTCAGCTCCTTGATATTTTCGACGGTGGTAAAGCTCTCTGCTGTGATTGCTAGTGCTTCGAGGAGCTGCTTAAGCTCAGTTAGACCTTCGGTGCTGCCGTCAAGCTTGCTCTTGAGTTCGTCCCCAAGTTCACCGACGACAAACTTGGCTTCGTCAATTTTCTCGGCGAGACCGCCGTGCTCAACCTTCCGGGCATCGAAACCTTGGGCGGTCAATTCGTTATTGGTCTCCATCTGCTCTCGGAAATCGCAGACAAGTGTCGATAGCTCCTGGATATCCGTCTTGGTGGGGAGGGTATCCACATCGGGAAGCTTAAGTTCGTCGACTTGAGTCTTGACCTCGAAGATCATGGCTTCGACCGTTTGCAGATCAGATTTGAGTAATCTCTCTGGATCTTCCTCTTCCTCGACATCGTTGGTTTTGCTCTTCATCTCGTCTAGGATAACCCAGACATCTTTGATGAGACCCTCCAAAGTGCCGATCTCAGACTTTGTGGGAGCCTCGGCTTCGACACGACTAGAAAACTCGGCAATCGAGTCCTTGGCCTCTCGGATCATGGTCTCCAGAGCTGCAATATGCTCAGGAGTGGCGACCTGGTCCGGGGAAGGGAAGACAAGCTCATCGATCTGGGTCTTAGTACTCAAGAGTAACTGCTCGAGAATTTCAGTGTCTTGCTTCCGAGCGGTGTCAGCATTTCCGGCACTTTGTTGAGTACTCATCTCGCCCATGGCGAGCTGAATTTCGTGAAGCGCAAGAAGAACTTCATCGAGGTGTGAGCGCTTGAGGGCATCCTCGGTATCTTCTGCGGCACGAGGGGTATTCTCAATGGCCTCGACCTTGTCATGTAGCTGGGTTATGAGCACTTTGAGACCCTCAATGTCAGGTCCGATGCTGGGCTCGTTTGCTAGGATGAGTTCACCGCCGCGAGCGGTACTCGCATCATCCAGTTCTTTGTTAGATACACGAAGAGAATCCATTTCAAGCTTCAGGTCCGCAAGACCATCTCTGATAGTGTCCAAAATTTCGGAGCTGTCGAACTCAGTTGGCTTCTCCAGTAGTTTCTTCAGGTCGTCGCGAATCGAATCAATGCCACCTGTGAATGCATCGAGGAGCTCACTTGTCCCGGATAAGGTGCTTTCGTTGCCGTCTCGACGCGAGGTCTCTTCACGCAGGATGTCAAAATGCTCGTGCAGTGCCGAAATGATTTCGTCTTTCTCAGTACCGGGCTCGGCACGAACCACACTCATCTCCATACGCTCACGAAGACTCTCGAACTCCTGTTTAATGGTGTTTACCACTTCGTTTTCTTGTCCATCTTTGAAGGATGTATCTTCGCGTAATTTGTCGAAATGCTCGTGCAGTGCCGAAATGATTTCGTCTTTCTCAGTACCGGGCTCGGCACGAACCACGCTCATCTCCATACGCTCACGAAGACTCTCGAACTCCTGTTTAATGGCGTTTACCACTTCGTTTTCTTGGCTATCTTTGAGGGACGTTTCTTCGCGTAATTTGTCGAAATGCTCGTGCAGTGCCGAAATGATTTCGTCTTTCTCAGTACCGGGCTCGGCACGAACCACGCTCATCTCCATACGCTCACGAAGACTCTCGAACTCCTGTTTAATGGCGTTTACCACTTCGTTTTCTTGGCTATCTTTGAGGGACGTTTCTTCGCGTAATTTGTCGAAATGCTCGTGCAGTGCCGAAATGATTTCGTCTTTCTCAGCACCGGGCTCGGCACGAACCACGCTCATCTCCATACGCTCACGAAGAGTCTCGAATTCCTGTTTAATGGTGTTTGCCACTTCGTTTTCTTGTCCATCTTTGAGGGATGCATCTTCGCGTAATTTGTCGAAATGCTCGCGCAGTGCCGAAATGATTTCATCTTTCTCAGCACCGGGCTCGGCACGAACCACGCTCATCTCCATGCGCTCACGAAGACTCTCAAATTCATGCTTGATCGTATTGACAACCTCATCGCCGGCGTCATTATTGTGGCGATCAGCAGCCTCTCGGATAGCATCCAGAATCTCGTCTTTGTCTTCAGTGGCATTATTGCGAAGAAGAAGAGTGGTGATTGTTCCCCGTAGGTGTTCGAATTCTTTTTCCATGGCATCGAGAAGCTCAGGTGTATCGGGAATACCTCGCGGTGCATTCAAAAGAGATGTATCCGTAATGGTCTTCTCCATATCGGCTTGAAGAAGTCGGAAACCTTCTTTGACCGTGTCAATTACCTCGTCCTTGCCTGAAAGATCAGCAGCGGTAACCACGTAGGTTTCAAGCTCCTTGCGAACGATGTCGAGGCCATCCTTGATCGCGTCGAGGACTTGCTCGGTGTCTCTTCCACCGGCGGCCGAGTACTGCTTGAATTCTTCTTTCATCCCTTCGAATAAAGTCTGGAGGCGTTCCGTCATCTCCCCACCAACATTGGTATTAGCGGTAGTGATGGCTTCGTTGAGACCGGAGGTGATTGCCTCCATCAGGTCGTCCTGATTCAGCTCAATCTCCCGGGTGACCGAGTTCCCATTTTGGATGCCTTCTGCAATGGCAGTCAAAATCTCCTCACGTGAAATGGACGGCTCTTGGACGTTTGTGCTTAGTGCGGACTGTTGGCTGATTGTTGAGGCTTCAATGCCCTCAGCGATAGCACTCATGATTTCCTCCCTGGAAGCACTAGGCTGCCCATTTATGCCGAGCGAGGCATGAGAGTGCTCAATGCCCTCGACAATTGCATTGAAAATTTCATCGCGGGAGGGACTCGACTGCTGATCCTGACCCTCTTGCCCAAGCGATGTGAGAGCACGCGAAGAGGAGTTATTTGAGTTCTCAATGCCGTCAGCAATGGCGTTTAAGATCTCGTCTCTGGAGATATTAGGTTCTTGGCGGTTCGATGAGTCCTGCATGCCCTCCAAAATGGCACCGAGGATCTCGTCTCGAGAAACGCTAGGTTGCTCGTTATTACTGAGGGAAGACCGCGAGTGCTCGATAGCGTCCACGATGGCGCTGAAAATTTCATCACGAGAGACGGTCTGCTGAACGTTGGTACTGAGGGCTGATTGCTGCGCATTCATCGAACTTTCAATGCCCTCGGCAATGGCATTCAAAATTTCATCACGAGAAATGTTCGTGTGGGCAAGAGTAAGAGCTGATTGTTGAGCATTGAAGGCTTCATTGACAGCATTTATAACATCATGGCGGGAAATTCGTGGCTCATCCATCTCTTTGGCTGCAGTGAAATGGGCTTCGAGGCCATCGGAGACAGCACTGACAATCTCATCACGACCGAGGCCAGAGTCGTATGAATCCTTGCTCAGTGTGCTTTGTGCCATGGAGCCGGCCAATGCGCCAAGGATCTCGTCCCGGATAGAATTGAGTTGGCCGACGTTGTCTTCATCCAAAGACCTGGAGGTGCTGTGGTTTGCCATTGCTCCGATGACAGCTTCAATGATCTCATCCCGGATAGAATAGAGGTGATTGAGGTGGTCCTCATCCAAAGACTTAGGCTCTGTGCTGCTGATTGCGATTGTTCCAGTAATCGCTTCGAGAATCTCATCACGAATGGCGTACATATGTTGGACATGATCTTCGTCCAACTGCTTTGATCCTGTGCTGTTCTTCTCCATTGCTCCGGCAACTGCTTGAAGGATTTCGTCGCGGAGGGAGGTCAGATGACTGGCGTGGTCTTCGTCCACTGATTTAGAAGCCGCGGCATGGCTTGTCACTGCCCCAGTGACGGCGTCAATGATCTCATCACGAACAGAGTAGAGATGGTTGACGTGATCTTCGTCCAAAGACTTAGGCTGCATATTGTTGGCTGCCATCGTCCCAGTGACCGCATCGAGAATTTCATCGCGAATTGAATAGAGGTGGTTGATGTCTTCCTCATCCAGAGACCTTGAACCTTCGTTATGACTAGTCATAGCTTTTGAAACTGCATCGAGAATCTCATCACGCATTGAGTGAAGATGGCCGACGTGTTCCTCATCAAGGGATCTGGAGACAGGATCGGGCTGCTTCTCCAAGCATTCGCGGATGGTCAAGATGACCTCGTCCCGAGATATGCTTGGCGGTTGCTCGATTTGTGGAGGAATAAACTTCTGCATACCGTCCTCGACAGCTGCGAGAACCTGGTCGTACGTGACTGCCTGTTCGTGCTGGGGCTGGTAAGACTTGAGCCCTTCTTCAAGACATGTGAGGATTTCGTCTCGCTCCAAGCCAAAGTTGTTGAACTCGATTTCAGGCTTGTAGGTCTCCCAAGCTTCACGGACAGTCTCGAGAATGTCTTCTCTGTCCATTTCGGCACCTCGCGACTCGGGTTGAGGTTGGGGAAGTTCAAGCTCATCGAGGGCTTTTTTCACAACGGAGTATATTGCGGCACTATTCATGGTTGATCGAAACTCGGACAAGTCCGATGATTGCTGCCGGCTCTCGTTGATAGTAGCAGCCAGCTGCTCTTTGAGGTCGTCCAGGCTGCGGTTGACGATGGCAGATATTTCTTCTGGGCCGGCAGCTCTGGGCTGCTCCTCAGGCTCGTCGTTGGCACGTGAACTCTCGATCTCGTCTAATCGCCGGCCGAGTTCTCGACCCATGCCCAGGACCTCACCTCGTAGTTCGCGTACCAGGGACTTCACACCGTTGGTCATTCCACCCCCCTCGACGACGCTATTCTTGACACTCCTAAGAATTTCCAAAACTTCATCTGCATTGGGTGAAGAGGCATCTCCCTTGTCAGAGTTGGAAAGGTCTAGTGCACGTACAGTTTCAGGATCCACGGATCTCATTGACCCAGATCGTGTCCGCTCGGGAGAGGAATCACCAGATTGCATATTATCAAGATTGTCGGCCATGCTGAAAGACCGCACGAGGGCTTTGCTCGATGGGTCCTCTTTGACGAGGTTGAGGATCTCCTCGAGCATGACAGTGACTTTGTTATCTGCATCTTTGTCCGAACCGGTAGGTGCGGGTCGAGATCTAATTTCTTCAACAAGCTCCAAGAGCTTTTCCTCACCTTCCTTGGTTGCCATCTCGCGCAATACCTTTTCGAGCAAAGCGAGGGCTGCGGAGCCGTCGGAAATCGGGGCAGGTGGGACACAAGAGTCCCTATCAAACGCGAATGGATTGGGGCTGGGCATGCGAGGCACGGAGTAGCTCCTCTTCGAAACGGGACTATCCGGATCCTTGGGGTTAGGCCCATCACCACCCTTGAAAAGATTACTGAAATCAAACCTTGTAGCATCAGCGTCCAGGTATTTGGTTTTAAGATGAGAAGACAGCTCCTTAAGACTCTTGCGAATGTCTTCGTCCCGTGCGTTGGTTGCCGCCTTGAGGCTAACCAGGTCGGTGGCATTGTCTTTGCTGCGTCGGCTCAAATTCATCATCTCACGCTGCAAGCTGCTTGCAATGTCCGTGAGGCTGTGGATTTGATTTGATAGCGAATCCATGCTTGTATTTTTCGTGTGATGGGGTTGCGGCTCAAACGGCGCCGCGATCAATTTTGGCGGTTTAGAAGGTGATGGAGGGTCAGGCTCCAAAGGTAGCTGCATGTTTTGCAGGGCTAACATTGTAGCCGACGGCGGAGTACTTTCTCCCAGTATTGGCTTGGATAAGTAACGACTCGATACGGAGTAATTCATCTCCCGATCCGCGTCTTGACGGAGCGCTGGCGAACTGATCGACTTCGTAGGATCGCGCGGCTTGGCCGCCTCAATAATGGTTGCACGAAGAGGACGCTCTGGGGATCTGCTCTCAAGGTAATTCATGAAGTCGCTGCGCGCATCTTGTCGGGTATCTTCAGGCTGTAGTGACTGCATGCGCTTGTGGTGCTGGCCTTTGACCAACGACCTCTCTGGAGAGGAAGACTTGAGTGGCATGGGATTTGTTGTGTAAGAGCTCGGTGCATGTTCGCTGGGTCTCTCTGTAAATTTTGCAGCCACTGCCTGAATATTGGGAGAAACATTGGACCTCGTCGCGGGGCTCATTGGGCTCATGGAACGAGGATTCATTGGTAGCGGCGGAGGCGCACGCTCGGGATCCGAACTGTCCCACCTGCGTAGACCGCGTTTTAGCATTTGTTTGAAATCACCCATCGGGATCGGTCAAAGCAACAATTAGCAGGCATTAGATTCGGAACCTACATTGGAACTTTAGACTCGGAGTATGTCATTGAATGCCGGACCAATTCCCGGTCACGGGGGGCGTCCTTGTCTGGGGACGGCATGATATCTTCGTGAATGGATTGTCAAGATGTCTCAAAGAGGTATTGACAATATGGATGGAATGTATGTAGGGTATGTGTAGAATGCGTTCAAAGTAAAAACAAAAGCAAGGTCATCAAGGCTGTCAACACAAGGGAGGAAACGCTGGGAGAACAAAGCAAAAGCTAACAATCTCAGAACTCGGTGGAGGAAAGAAAATCACCGGGAGATCAGCTTGATAAGAGAAAAGCAAGTGGAGATGAGAGTTGTCTGGAGAGAGAGAGAAGAGCTACGCAGCCTTGTACACATCACTCATGGCCATCGCAACCGGGGCAACTACGATCGTCATGTAAACAAAACCTGAGTCAGCGAAAACAAGGCGGTGAGAATCGCTGGGTACCCAGGTGGGCACCTGCCCAAGGCTGGGCACCGATGGATGGATGACACATCAATTATGTCATCATTTAATCCGGGCCCAATGGGGAAAGTATCCAGAATGGGGCTAGTCGCCATCTGTCGGTAAGTCGACCAATCAATCCACAGCACACAAATCGCTACTGTGCCCTGAAACCCTCTACCTCACATCCGCAAAAACGAACACTTCGATCTTGACCGTTCCGTATCTCGACAACCACCCATCCTCGCCGCCCCCGGGACCTTCAAAATGAAGTGTACGTCTTCACCATTCGATTCCCCTTGCGATCTATATGCTGATGGATATGTTACAGTCATGAAAGTGGGCCGTGTGGCCATCATCACCCGTGGCCGCTACGCCGGTAAGAAGGTACGACAAGATCCTGATCCTCCCCGAAATTGAGCACGAGAATGGAAAGAGGCGGAACGACTTGCAAGCGAAAGACTCGATATTTGAAAAGAGCACAATGCAATATGGAGGAACTACGCGACAATGAAAAAAAAATCAGAGTGCTAATCAGGCATTTTTGTTCGAATCTATAGGTCGTCATTGTCCAGCCCGTTGATGCTGGCTCCAAGTCGCACCCCTTCTCCTACGCCATTGTCGCCGGTATCGAGCGTTACCCCCTCAAGGTTACCCGTGGTATGGGCAAGAAGCTCGTCGACCGCCGCAGCCGCATCAAGCCTTTTATCAAGGTCGTCAACTACAACCACTTGATGCCCACCCGTTACACTCTCGAGCTTGAGGGTCTTAAGGGTACCGTCACCAACGACACCTTCAAGGAGGTTTCCCAGCGCGAAGACGCCAAGAAGACCATCAAGAAGGCTCTTGAGGACCGTTACACCAGCGGAAAGAACCGTTGGTTCTTCACTGCCCTGCGTACGTTTGGCCCAGGATATATATATGCACTGAAAAACTCGACACTAATATTCCGGAACAGGTTTCTAAACGGTTTACTTGGGCGTTTTGTCGTTTTGAGCGCACGGGTCTAGGTGAAGGCGAGGTCGAAAAAGCCATCGAGCACATTCGGTCCCTGCGAGCATGGGATGGGAAAACATACACCATGGCTGGAAACAGATTCGTGAATGTATCGATGAACTCCAGTTTTTAACGGGGGCGCCACTTCCATACCTGGTGTCCGTCTGAATGAAATGGAAAATGAACAATTATTTCAAAATCAATGTTGTCTATTACCTCAAAACTGGTCGACATCTTCCTCTTTTCCATAGGCCAGGAACAATTTTGATCTGTTGTCTCAACACAGATCATTCCCACCCCAGTGGACGGCCTTGTAGCTATATGGTTTGCCCCAGGTCACTCAATTCCATGGTGTCATTGCTGCTATTGATGTCTCCATGTCCATCTGTAATGCACAATCGTAGTTCTCAAAAATCAGTTACTTTTGTCCTGAGTGGCAGTGTTGGGACGTCCTCTCTCCTAACTATGTAGTCAAGTCCCAAACACATCATCGTGTCAAAAGGGAAGACTGCATTCTCAAACTTCGAGGAACATATGTTAAGACATGCCCCCACAGGTCTAGGTCCTCATCAATGCTCAATGGTGCAATTATAGATTCTTCCTCCACAGTCCATATACCAAATGTGAACCCCACCCCCGCCAAGATATAACATAACATACCTCAGCCATGTGGGTATCACCGCTTGCAAAGTACTTGCTACTAGCAGAATTAAATGTTGAACTTATTTCTAGCATGTGTAGCATTGGTGCTTATGCTGCTGTCCCAATGACATTGCAGCTTTGACAGTCCTAGCAATCTAAATAAAGAGCCGCTTTGATTCCGAGCTTCCAGTGGACAACTGACACATCCTGGTCCTACTCCCCCTACTAAACAAGGGGGCAATGGTCTTTGAATGATATTCTCGATGTAATCTTCGATATCAGAGAGACGCATTCTTTATCTTCATTGTCTTCTTTCTATCTTAGTCTCCGTATGCTCAGACTTACGACCTTTCATTGATGGTTGATTCAATCCATACATAGTATTTATATAACCCTTCATCGGCTTCATCACATATAATCTAGTCACGGCTAAGCCATCATTTCACTCAACTACCCAAAGACCCAACACGGCACACAGTACATACCAATTGCAAGTCAATACATATCTCACCAGCTAGCATATTTTTGTAACCATGCCCTTTCATCTAAAAAGAATCCGCGAGGACGCCAGGGAGGAATGGATGGACAACGAGGTCCATCGATACTATAATATGCCCATGATAATCGTGCGAGCCAAGCCTCACATCCTGATGCACTGCAACGTGTGCCGTGACACTGCTTCACTTTTAAAGACACCGGTCAGTATCGACAAGTGGATTAACGCCGAATATTTCATTTGGGAGATGTCCGCACGGCTAGCTGACAGCGGCGTAAACCCACAGTGGACGAAGTTCTTTGAAGAACAATACAAGGAAAAATGGGTGCAGATCCAGGACGAGTTTGAGAGCATAGCCGATCTCCCCGAGAGATTCCTTCACAAGGTTCCGGTCCCGCCCTTCCAGGTTGCAGAGGTGAGAATCATGGCTCATAAATCCCCGTGTTACTGGCGACTCCGTGCGAATACAGGCCGACACATGATTTACACGAGCTTCTGGCATCTTTGGAAGTGGATTCTCAAAGCAGGCTCGCGCACTGTTGGTCCCTTTGATGTCGCTCTCAGATTACCATCACACACTCCTGTCTGGGAGGACCCTGTTGATCCTTGGAATATGTCTCTCTCAAACGGTCCCCCTGGTATTGTCAGCCGTGAGGATGTTTCCTATCTTCGCTGGGACGGCGCATGCAGTGATTCCGCCCCATTGGATTTCACGTGCCTCTCTGGGGGAGTATAGCGCGATAATTTTCCTCCAGCTAGCCGCGGCCGATCATGATCTACCCCAGCTGTTATTGACCTGCCTCAACGCATGCGAGACTCCTGCTTTTTTAAAAAAAAATAGCGGGAAGGTCCCCAAATAGGAGGATGAGCATCTTGACAAGTCCACTGAAATGCCTTAATACTTGCAAAATCTATTCTATTGTTGAACAGATGCATGATTACTCCCGCAGATGGGGGATATTATTTTCTGCGCCTGGTAGGCTTTGTTCTACTCTCTTATGTTTCTGGCCTAGTAGATACAAATACAACATACGGAGTGCATAGCTGTGCAATGGCCAAGTGGTTTCAGCATAAATCATATGACATATCAAGATCAAGGATATGTGAAACCAGGAGTCCCTTCCAAGTGGCATGGTCTAGACAACAAAGTGACCATAAAATACACCCACTAATGCGTCGTATCATCTCCGACAGCTGATTTACTTGGCACACTTGTTGACGTGGTATTCTCCTTCAGGGCCGATGTGGCTAACAACTGCCAAGCCATGGACAAAGCGCTTCGAAAATATTAGTTTCCTGCACAATTGATCACAGCAAACATCAGAACCTGTCTTCACCTAGTTTCATGTGACCATCACAAGCAATTGATCCACAAGGCAACATAATTGAATCCCTGATATTGAGCCAACACTAAATGACACCTCACTTTCGCATGTGAAATGGATATCTTCGTGCTCAGCTCACGGGTCACGGGCCTCCGCGACGCTAGATGTCCAGAAGGCTATAAGCGAGATTCCATCTTCGTTCCAACCGCCACCCGCAGATGTACGGGGTACTATGCTAAAGTAGATTCCTAGACTCGACTGTACGTTAAAAGTAAAAAGGGAGTGGCGTGCGTGCCACAATCCGAATCGATTTCCCACTACACAATATCCCAACAGCTCTAAAAGTGGCGATAGGTTGAATGTAGTATAGTTTTTGGGCGGGTATTCTAGAGAAAGTTTACAGGAACAGAAAGAGGCAAAGTTTGTACCTTGTAGTTGTTGAGACAACCGTTGCTGGTCAAGACCCACGATATACAGGGATCTGCATAATATAGTAGCTTAATCAAGTGGGTTGCCAGTCGATCACTGCAATTTGGTCGTTTACCTCAGCAAAAGGAAAAAGGTCAAATAAGAAAATAGAGGCGGGGGAGAAAAGAAACTTACCCCGTCCGGCTTCGAATCCCAATGCTCACGACTTTATTCAATCCAGTCGACATGTTCAGTTTTTCGATGCTGACGACAATGTTGGGAAACCTAGCCACCTCCCGGCTTACCCTAATAGTCATACCGATTATTCCGTACATACATTCCTTTGGCCGCAATAGGAACACAGCCGCTTGGATATGCACAAAGTACCAAGGTGCCTTATATGCCTCACATAAATCACAATAAATATCGTATAGCCATAGTACAATTTTCCTATCAAACGCAACCGTTTCATAGGGTCACATCAAGCGCCGCGATTCGGATGAATCCGCGACGAATCACTTCGTCCATCGCATACCCGGGACCGGGAGAACGATCTCCAATCCGGCCAGGACTTTGCACAATCTTGCCCCTCCTACAGCATGCATTTGGACCGGAAGCCATTACGTATTCCCGGCGAGGGTACTCCTTACAAGGGGCGGTTGAGGGGAACCGACGCTCAGGCCAATAGGTGGGTACATGACTAGCATCATTAAGGTAAATGCAGATGGGCTGGACTCACATAACCTAGAAGCTGAAACGTCAATCATATTCTGGCAGGTTTACCCCGATCAGCGGCCATCTGTTGCCATCTGTGGCCATCTGCGCCCATCTGCGCCCACCGTGTGGGTAGTTTTATAATAGGGTGCAGATAAGCAGTTTTGTCCAACGAAAAACGGTGGAACGGGTGAAAACAAGGTTTATCTTGCGAAGTCACCCCTCATTTGCGTCGAATCGATCTATTCTGGGGGTGAAAATCGAACCCTTGAAAGAACCCTGGAATGTAGGAAATGACGAGCCATATAAGATGAGAGAATAGATCATTGATAGAGATCATCCAAGTGGAACCACACGGCGTTTTTGCATTAGACCCGCAATCACATGCGAAAGTAGCTCTTATCAAAAATTCTTTTATGGATACTAGTATTTCAAGATTTTTGCAATTAAAACAAGTATATTTGGTATAGAATAAGAATTATTAGCCATAGGGTTTCAATTGCTGACAGTCTGTAGCGCATAGTGCCCAAAGTCAATGGCGCATTGGCGTGGAGGCATCTCTTAGGACCTAAGAGTGTTAAACCCCTTTTTCCTACTAGCAAAGACTCGGGGAAAAAAAAGAAAAGAAAAATCCAAAGTAGAGAAGTAAAATAGCCAACTGAAATAACTAACAATAAATGAAATAACTGAAATAATTGAAAAAACCAACCGACAATACAATGTATTGCACAAATGATGCGATTGCGGTAGGACCCATTGCATAATGACAGCGCAATCACATGTGAAAATCCTTTTTTTCTATACAACCCAATTAATTCCTCTCTCTTTCTCACTCTTTTTCTTTTTCTCTTCTGAATTCTTATTATACTATATACCACTCAGTTTACTATCTTTATGCCCCACGCAGAAGCCAAAATGGGTGAACCGGTCGTCAACGGCGAGAAACACTACTCTCAGTTCCTTGACGTAAGTATACCGCCCCACTATATCCCACCTCCAAAACGCAGAACTAGAGAATCAGCCCATACTAACTGAACATTCCCAAATGTAGCATCTTACTTCCTATCCCATCATCTCCGACTCTATCTCCTACTACAAGGGCAGCCCCTACGGAGCCAAGTCCCTCGAATTCGCCGACCAGGGCTACACCCGTCTCGCTAAACCCGTTCTACCCTACTTCTCCACTCCCTACAGCTATGTCGCTCCCTACCTAGCTCGTGCCGACTCCCTCGGTGACAAGGGTCTGACCCAGATCGACACCCGCTTCCCTATCATCAAGGAGGACACCCAGAAGCTGCGCGGCTCCATCTACAACCGTGCCTCGCTGCCTGTCCGCGTCGCCGGCGATGTCAAGCACCATGTCTCCGACATCTACGGTTCTGAGTACAAAAAGTGTGGTGGAGACGGTGTCTTTGCTTCAGGCAAGGCTTTTGTCACTACCAGTTTGGTTCTGTCGCAGGAATCGCTAGCTTGGGTCAGCACTTTCCTCCAGAGTAAGAAGGAGGAAGCCAAGGAGGTTGTCAATGAGAAGAACAGCCACTGATTTTAGATCTCTTTGACCTTTTGGAGCGTTCTTTTTTTCGTTCTTTTTTTTTCGTTTTCTTTTAGATAGAAAATAATACCTCATCCCTGCTCTGTGTGTGTTGCTTTGCCCTTGTTGTATTTAGTTCGCTTTTCCCAGATCCATCAATGTATGTTGTACGGAGTACCTCGACACAAATTTGTTGGATGTAAAACACTTGAATCTCTACTCCGTACCTATTTAGATGTTGTAAAGCATGCTCGTTCTTTAATAAATCATCAAAGATAGTCCTCGAACGAACCGAGACCTCAAAACGCATTTGCTGAAACAAAGAAGCATTGATAAGAGCCATGCACGGACCAACCCCAATGGGGTAAAATTGTTCTATCGCGTCGCGTCTCCCCAAACCCACCTGCAACTCTCATCACCATACCAAGTCAAAATGCCACTAAATCGCAAAAGACGGGTATGCAACCTCAAATCCATCAGTTTATCCACCAACTAACCTCAACCCCCAGAACGACGCAGGATCCGAGACCGAATCAACCCCAAGTGCTCGTCGGCGCAGACGACAAAGCGAAGAACCCGACTCATCGTCCGCACCAGAAAGCGACGATGATGGACCAAGCGCACCAACCAGCACCGATGCGATGGTCAAGAAAATGGTGCGACTCGCCATAGCAAGCGAGTACTCGCGGCTCCCGATTCGGCGCAGCGACATCAGCGCCAAGGTGCTGGGCGAGCAGGGCTCGCGGGAGTTCAAGCTAGTCTTCAGCCAGGCGCAGCGGGAACTGAAGCAGCGCTTCGGTATGGAGATGACCGAGTTACCGGCGCGAGAGAAAGTCACCATTACACAACGACGGGGTGAGTTGGATTCCGTCTTGCTTTTCTTTGTTGCAGACCCACGTTGTGTCTAAGTAATCACTACTAACATCTCATACAACAGCCGCGCAGAAAATTGAAAAGCCTTCCTCGGCTAACAAGTCCTGGATCGTTACCAGCACCTTGCCGCTCCCATACCGCTCCCCCGATATCCTCATTCCAACTAAGGCACCCTCCCTCTACATCGAAAGCACATACACGGGCCTGTACAGCTTCATTATCGCTGTGATTTTGCTGAACGGTGGTTCGCTGGCTGAGCAGAAACTTGACCGGTACCTGGCGCGCACAAACGCTGAAGTTGGTACGCCGGTTGACCCCACGGATAAACTGCTGCAGCGGCTATGCAAGGAGGGGTACATCATCAAGACGCGCGAGATGGATGGCGGTGAGGAGGTGATTGAGTATGTCCTTGGACCACGAGGTAAAATTGAGGTCGGCACTAGCGGTGTGGCGGGTCTTGTGCGAACTGTTTATGGGAAGGAGAAGGGTGATCATGCGGGCTTGACTCAACTCCAGAAAGAGGAACTTGAGGACTTTGAGGGGAAGCTTGGGAGGAGTCTTGGGATTGAGCCAGCAACCGTACAAGCTAGTGGGGTGGATGGTGCTAGCGATGTGGATGGGGATGCTCGAGTTAATGGGGACGAAGAGGAACGTGAGGCGCCGCGGAGCTCGGGGCCTAGACGGTCTTCGAGGCGTACCCAGGAAGAAGGAGAAGAAGAAGACTCTGGTTCTGAAGAATATGAGGAAGAGTGATTGAATAATCTTTGATTGGCACGCTGTGATAACATACATAGGGATACATACCACATGTAGGTATCTACAACTTAATACCCAAGATACGATAGGTCATTTACATACCCACGTTTGACCGATATTTACCTTTTTAATCTTAGTCTACTATAGTATCATGCATTGTAGACTCTTGAACGTGCCCAAGTCCATCAGGTGAGTTGAATCTTTGATCAAGGCCAATTCTTATGGAAGTGGTCTACGCTTAGCTTAAAATTTGAGTCACATCATAGAAAATATGTGCTACTTGTTGCTTTATTCCAGCTTTGCGCGATCTTAAAATAAAGCCATGCTAAAAGATTCTCACGAAGTAACTATGTAGTAAATGGTTTGTTCCATCTTCTTGGAAGGTTGCAAGTGACTTTCATAGATCTTCCAGCTTAAATTCCATTTTGTTGATCAGCCACTTCACTGAAAACTTAATCCCAAAGTTATTTGACCAACTCAATAGGCTCATCATGTCTAATACCAACTTCTTCCTTTCTTTGAGCACATTCTTCATCGCCAAACATGATACTAGAAAGCATCATATACACGTCTTTTGGAAGGAAGAAAGATTTGACCATAGAAAACCCCGTCTGCTCGGTATCTGTGTACACAAATAGTATCCCATACTTCTTCCATTCGTTATTGGTGACAGCTAGAAAGGCAGAAGAGTGCCCGCTCAGATCTCCACTTGCTCCTGCGTCACCAAGAGGTATTTCTTCCGTATCAATCTGGATATGTGTAGTAACGATATCATTGAGGCTCTTGCACGCAAAGTTGTTCAAAGGCGCTAGACGGACGAGATGTGGCCTTTCATTGCCCTATTTTCCCATCCACTCCTTGTCAAGCAAAGAAGCAATTCTCTCAAGCCCACTGGATATCAACCAGCGTGTATGATGCGAAAGTTGCGGGATCTAGGTTTTTATCGCCGAAGTTCCCAAGCCCCGGGAAGTGGGAAGGCAGGGAAAGGTCGTGGTTGATATCCATGACCCATGACCCGTATTCAGCAGAATAGAAAATATGATGTCTTTAGCCAAGCGAGGTGGTAGCTACATATAAGATATAATATAATACGAAAACCAGCTTTTATAACAACGTCATTCCTAGGCGAAACAACTTCACTTTATTCTTTAAAGAGTACTTTATACCTACATATGTACGTTATTACATAGATGTTCACAGAGCCACCTCTTCCCATCAGTCTATAATTAGTACCAGTCTATAGTTAGTCCTGGGAAACCTGTATGATTATTGACCTTGGAAGTGAACCTCCAGGGCTGCCAGGGCGTGCTCGACCACAACCAAAATGGTCATAATTAGTCAGTGATTATACAAGCATTGTGGCAACTTCAACTTGGATGATGAACTGCTAGTCTACTTCGTGTGATACCTTGACTGACACTTTGCTTCGTCTAATCCTAGTATGACGGCTATCTCTTCCACTGCCACCAACAACTATGAACTCCCCAACTGCAACGACCACGACCACTTCCCCTATCATTATAACCACAGAAGCTCAATGATAGCTCGAGCGCAAGTTCGTATATTTGGATTCGATTCAGGGTGGACTTAAAAGTTGACATTGAGATGGAAATCTAGACCAACTTGAATATATATACCTCAAAGCTCAGAGTATAACGCCATTGGGTTTTGGATGTTGAACACTCTGGTCATCATATTTCAGACCAATATTTATTCATTGGAGTTTTTCTTCGTTGAAATATGTAAGTGGACCATGGCATGTGTATAAATGACAAAATATATGTTTCTGGGTGATCAGATGCCCCACGACGATTAATCGAGATTGAATCTGCAGAGACAAGTCTGGAATAATCCCCTATATCGAATAAGGATGAAACTGATCAGCAGTTCGGTCCTAGATTGAACGTGGTGCTACTCGTTACTTGATATTGCTTGATATGAAGCCGATTTGAGGATTATAGATATCATTCCCGTTAATGTGTTTACAAAGATAGGAACGGGGTGTTGGAATCAGATAGAAGATTATATAGGTATAGGTGTAGTAGGAAGAAAGAGTGATCCTGAAACAAATATTGTTTAAAGTTTTGACAGAAGGTGCATGGTACCCGTGAAATAGATGTACTATGTATGTGGCCTCAGGCACACCACACAGAACTCGACGACGCAACTCACCCAGGGTAGGACAGGTGCGTCGTCCGAGGGGTGATGAACAGTTTTACTCTTTTGAGTCTATGTACAGATTATGCTCTACGATGTTACAATTTTACGAGTAAAAGAGAGAGAGAAAGGTGACTTGAGTCATAAAAATGTGGGTAGTCATTTTGAGCAACTACACAGCAAATCTACCTTGATCCAGTAACTGTTTTTGAAAAGAAAAAATCATCACGGCATAATGAGCATCATCCGAGAATCATTTATTTCTTACCAGCCTTGGCAGCGGCCTTGGTGACCTTACCAGCGCCACCAGCGTTCTTCTCAACGGACTTGATGACACCGACGGCAACGGTCTGGCGCATGTCACGGACGGCGAAACGACCGAGAGGGGGGTAGTCGGTGAAGGCCTCAACACACATGGGCTTGGAGGGAACCATCTTGACGATAGCGGCATCACCGGACTTGATGAACTTGGGGGAGGTCTCAGTGGCCTTACCGGTACGGCGATCGATCTTCTCGAGGAGCTCGGCGAACTTGCAGGCAATGTGGGCAGTGTGGCAATCGAGGACGGGAGCGTATCCAGCGCCGACCTGACCGGGGTGGTTCAGGACAATGACCTGAGCGTTGAAGGAGTCACAGGCGGCAGCGGGGTCGTTCTTGGAGTCGGAAGCGACGTTACCACGGCGAACCTCCTTGACGGAAACGTTCTTGACGTTGAAACCGACGTTGTCACCGGGGTTACCGGCCTTGAGCTGCTGGTGGTGCATCTCAACGGACTTGACTTCAGTGGTGACGTTGGCGGGGGCGAAGGTGACGATCATGCCGGGGGTAATGATACCAGTCTCGACACGACCGACGGGAACTGTGCCAATACCGGAGATCTTGTACACATCCTGGAGGGGAAGACGGAGGGGCTTGTTGGAGGGACGGACGGGGTTCTCAATGGCGTCAATGGCCTCAATGAGGGTCTTTCCGGTGCTCTTTCCGGCCTTGGTCTCCTTCTCCCAACCCTTGTACCAGGGGCAGTTGGTGGAGGGCTCAAGCATGTTGTCGCCGTTGAAGCCGGAGATGGGGACGAAGGGAACGGACTTGGGGTTGTAGCCGACCTTCTTGATGAAGTTGGAGGTCTCCTTGACAATCTCGTTGTAACGATCCTCGGACCACTTGCAGGTGTCCATCTTGTTGAGGGCAACGATGAGCTGCTTAACACCGAGGGTGAAGGCAAGCAGAGCGTGCTCACGGGTCTGGCCATCCTTGGAGATACCAGCCTCGAACTCACCAGTGCCGGAGGCGATGATGAGAATAGCGCAATCGGCCTGGGAAGTACCAGTGATCATGTTCTTGATGAAATCACGGTGACCGGGGGCATCTGTAATGGAATATATTAGCATGTGTGCAAGCAACAGAAGGAATGGGAGTTTGTCTTACCGATGACGGTGACCTCATACTTGGCGGTCTGGAACTTCCAGAGAGCGATATCGATGGTGATACCACGCTCACGCTCAGCCTTGAGTTTGTCAAGAACCCAGGCGTACTTGAAAGAACCCTTTCCGAGCTCAGCAGCCTCCTTCTCGAACTTCTCGATGGTACGCTGGTCAATACCACCACACTTGTAGATCATGTGACCAGTGGTGGTGGACTTGCCGGAATCGACGTGGCCGATAACGACGATGTTGATGTGGTTACGCTCTTCCTTACTGTTGGGTCAAGTCAGTCTCAGTTCTTCTGAGGTGAAGGACGGTCACATACCCCATGATGACGGTTGGAACTTTTTGTAGTTCTTTGTAAGATACTAGAAAAAATCTGTAGAAAAATTGCTCAGAGACTACGGCAGAACGCGTAGAGGTACTGAGCAAAAGTAATCAGTAAGAGTAGTCGGAAGAGGGAGAGCTGAAAAGCAGTAGGGGGGCAGGGAATACTCACTGTAGCAGACAAGAGGAAGAAAGAAAAGTCTGTGGGAGGGGAGGAGGGGAAATCCTTATATGGAGGGGCAAGCGAGCGAGGCGAGTCAGCAGGTGGGGCCAAGCCCTCTTTGGCTAGGGCTTCTGATTGGCTCTAGCCCTTACCCGTGTACGCAGATTTTGCAAAGTGGGTTGGTGGGCTGATGTATATCTACCTGCTATAATATGTCTGCAACCATACTTTACAATGTACAGTCTACTTCTATGATTGAAACACCCCTCCGTTTCCCTGGTTATGTCCTGCCATGGCACTCCACTCGCTGCGAAATTTTTTTTTTCATCGGCTCCGTCCCAGCCCACTTTGTGGCTCTAAACGCTTGAACTGGGCAGCAACGCAGAGTGGTTGGGTGAGAACCTTCTAGTTTGCATTGTTTACTTTGCCCATTTTCTGGCATTCTTATGGCTCTGTACGAATTATTGTGGCGATATTGGATGTCTTCGTTCCATTTTTTCACTTTCGTTTTTCATTTTTGTCTTTAAGAACCCCGCGGATGAGGGGCAACACTCCTCACCGCCAACTCATCCCACCAACAATGTCATGTCATGCATGGAAAATCCTTTCTGATCCTTTTATTTTTTGCCTCCGATGATCAAATTCATATTTAGTGTATCCCAAGGTTAGGTAGAAATAAATGTCGGGCTCTACATCTGTACTAGACCAATTGTATTTATAGTATCATATGTGAGAAGCTCACCTAAAGTCACCTAAAGTCACCCAAAGTCAAAGCCACAATCAATATGATATAAAATAAAAATGCATTAAAAACCTAGATCCATGTCCCAAAAAGTCTCCGCTGATAGCAAAAAAAAAACTGTGCGCTGGGCTGTGACGTCGATCAATTTGGGTATCGTTGTATCGACTTGATAGTTTTAAGTTACATA